TCGTCACAAACAGAACTGCCCGGTAAACCGTAGGCAGAGAGAGAGAAGAGGACAAAAAACGAGGGGCTGTGACAAACTGTTTCGTCGGAGTTTCATATATATATCGTCAAATAGAACTGCCCTATATATATATATATATCATCAACGTGCAACGTGGCAAGCCTTGTACGTGAGAGGCACGGTGAAGGGGGAGTTAAAAGAAGAATGAAAAAAAGGAATAGTTTCTGAGTTTCAGTGTGCCCCTCATCTTTGTTTTGTTTTTTTATCTTTACCGTTTGTTTCGCAAAGTACGCTCTTTTAGTTTATATCTTATACATTATGTATATAATGTACTAGGGGCTGTGACAGACTGTTTCGTTGGACTTTCACTGGGTTAGCATGTCATAAGGATATATCGTCACACTGTGAATCAGGGCACGATGGCGAAAAAAGGCAAAACAAGGAAAAGAAAAGAAGGAAGGAAAGCCCCACCTGTTCATCACCTCTTACGTACAAGGCCAGCCACGTGGATGACAGGTTGAGCGCTGGCTGCCCCCATCCCTGTGTGTCACAAGGACCCACTTGCACGCAGCCAAAAGGCAAAGAGGTAAAGAAAAGGAGGAGGAAACCAGACCTCACAGAGGCAAGGGAAAGAGATCTTGCACGGTTTGGTGGGCACTTTAGTAGACTGCACGGGTGAACGGGCAACCGTTGCAGTGGAACTTTTGACCCAATATTTAGAAGTTACTTTTTTATTTCCTTGGGCAGTTTCCCATCATACGGCTCTCCACCACGAATCATCGTTTGATAATGTTCTCGATAAACTAGTCGATTTATATAGGACCACGCCCGTCTCAGCACAAAGGTCGAAGAAACGACAAAGAAAGAAAGCAAATGACACATCCCATAGATAAACCAATTGCCACTGTCACTACAAAGTTCAACATATTTTTTTCTTTTTTTCTTTTTTCTTGTTTTCTTTTCTCTTTTCTCCAGAAATTTGTACTTTTTTTTTTCTTTCTTTTATCTGTCCTACACTTAATGTTGCTCCTGATCGCTTCATTCTATTGGCCAATCAGGAAGAGGAGCCCCCACCCCGGCAGATAGGACAGGGGCGCTGAGGATGACGTGGATGTTCACAAGGATACCCAAGGCGAGCTACTTCACCACAGCGTTCAGCAGGACGGCTAGCACGGACCATCCCATCAAAACAGTCCTGACAAAGGACATGCTGTCCACATATCCAAAGCACAGCAGGACGGTCATCACAGTGCGGCATCATGCAGTCCTGATAGCGTCCTTGAGCACAAATGGGACAACGAATATCTGGGTGATAGGGATGTGTACAATGAGGAAATGTTGGACACCCTTCCGCACAGACGGCGGCGGCTGCAATAGATTGATAATGTTGATGGCATAGGTGATGAATTCCGCAGCCAAGATGCACCGCGTCCCTGTCCCGACAGGTGTCACACGAGAGTCGGTCAATAATCCAGAATAAAGTATGATTCGCCAATGCACACAGAAATTCATTTATGTTGAAAATAGCCTGAATCATTGTCCCACCATCCCACAGTTCCCACTGGGCAGCTGCACGAATGAGTGCCATATAATGCCCTGGTCTGTGCAAAATACAGGCAGAAATATGAGGATGGTCATTAAGGTCATCGCCTGGCCTCGCATGATGCATAATAAGGTGGCGACCGTGGAAAGCTAGCCGTAAGACATTTACAGTAAAGCCTCCTGAGGTAGTATAATTACTACCTTCAGGAGTTGGACCATTATGGTCATACAACAACTGATTTTCAACAGCGTCAAGCTGATAAGCAATCGTAACAAAATGGGAAGCAGTATAACATCCACACTGATAAGCCTGTAGGCAGACATTTGTGGCCGCCAACCCACACGCATTTGGTAGATCTGCACGCAGATCCGATTCGGTCACCACTGGAAAGCTAGGTCTGATCTGGCGGGGTCGGCGCATGAATGACGGACTCCGTCGCCGTGGCAGAGAAGGCTGTCGGTAAGACAAAGAACCCCGCAGTTTAGCATCAACACGACCTCGAGAGGAAGGGGGACTGGGAGGAGGAGAGAATGAACGAACCTGCCGACGTCCCAATATAGACAACGAAGACAAAGGAGGGGTTGATCTCAGCCGGCGTGAGGGGGCAAAAGAAGAAGAAGAAGAAGAAGAAGAAGAAGAAGAAGAAGAA